GCCTTGCGTGGGGGCTGTAGTCGCCGCCAGGGTGGGCGCTAGGTCCCCGGGTTTGCTTTTGCGGCTACATTTCCCCCTTTCCGGGAATCTGCTGTTCACCCCGCAGAAGGGATATGGGACCGACTGGGGAGGGTGTGTGGTTTTGTGCGTGTGCAGATATGATGTGTAGCCGTGGGTGTGGATGTGCGGGCGTGCACGCGCACTCTGCAGCAGTCCTTGCTCTGGGAGACGCCCCACCCCTGTCGCCCCCACGCCTCTTGCTTTTGCTCCTCCAGAGTCCCCTTCCCTCCCCCACTTTTCCTCTCCTCAGGGAGGCTGAGTCCTAAGCTGGTCCTGCACTAAAAGAATTCGAGCCGAGGGTCCCGTAGTGGAGCGGGAAGAGGGGGCGGGGGGAGGGGAGGAGGAAGGGGAGGGGAGAAATAGGTTCCCAGCGCTCTTTGCTAAGGTTGGGGGCGGTTGCCCTCTGGTCAGTCGTCCCATGTTCCCTGAACTGGGCGGTTCCAGCAGGATCGTTGGCGTGGCGGGTGCTCCTTAAATGCTGTTAGATGCATTGTGTGAAGGGCTGTGGTGAGAACAGGGCGTCCCGAGAAGGCTTGCAGTGTTCTTTTTCTCGCCGAGCTCCTGGAAACACTGTTATCAGCTGGTGCGGTTTTCCTCCTTGAAGTTAACCTTGAGGATAGTAGAGACCCACATGCCTACAAACGTTCTTGCTTTTCTTATTAACCCATTGTAGGAGTGGTATACTGCTACATCTTTCTTTCTTTTTCACATCTTTCTTAGAAAAGTTGTATTTTCAGCCTGTGCAACACCGTTAGGTAATAAGTTCCATAAATTACCAGCCCAGGAGTTAAGGCTGGTTATTCTTTTATTTGTCCTGACCTTTCCTTTTTCAAGTGTGAAGTATTACCAAACCCTTTAAAGTGGGATTTGGTGGTAACAGCCTAAATTCGGTCCTGATTTTATTTATTTACTTTTTTTGAGACAGGGTCTCACTCTGTCACGCAGGCTGGAGTTCAGTGGTGTGATCACGGCTCATGGCAGCCTGGACTTCCCTGGTTCAAGTGATTCTTCCTCCTCAGCCTCCTGAATAATTGGGACTGCAGGCGTGCAGCAACACTAGCGGCAAATCTTTTGTATTATTTTCGTAGAGACGAGATTTCACCATGTTGCCCAGGCTGGTCTCGAACTTCTGGGTTCAAGCCATCTGCCTGCCTCAACCTCCCAAAGTGCTGGGATTACAAGCCTGAGCACCACTGCCCCCTTCTCCCCTCCTGATTTTACCTGCTTTTCTCACTTTCCTTCAGTGTGTTTGGAACAGTGGGAAGAGAGCTTAGGCTTGTGTGACCTTGGGCAAATCTTTTCCTTAGTTTCTTCATCTATAAAATAGCTTTGGCATAAACTTAGATAAAGAAGAGGCATCAAGTGGATACTTTTTTTTTTTTTTTT